TAGTGTTAATATCAGTTATTAATCGAACGTGGGTGGTCAGAGGCTTGTGGTCGCCCAGATCGGCAGCTAGGAATGGTTTCTTAACATCCTTTTTACTGCACTTTTGGCATTTGTACGGATAAATTTCTTATAAATAATATTTGGCGCCTGATATTTTTTGGCACATAAATCGCTTTTATTACTGTGGTCAATGGACAGATCTAAAAATTCTTTATTAAGCACGTAGCCTGATCTGTCCATTCATTTATGATGGTGGTATAGAATACTCGAGCCCTCATATGAAGAAGACTGTTACAACAGGACAGAGTTCATTGACCAATTACAAGAAAGAACGATACGTCAGGCGCCGTCCATCAGAGTCCACTGTAGCTTGCTTGGGCATGGTAAGAAGGCGTAGGGACGAGCACAAAGATTTATTGGCATAAAATATTGATGTGAGCCTCTAGTACCAGGGTCAAAATATGTTTTGAATATGGGGATTCCTTATATATTCGGTCTGGGTTGCTCTTGTCCGCCCATTGGCTCCGGCTTGACATCTAGAAATTGAATGGCGAACTCGTGAGGTGATTGGCTACTCGGGCTTTGGCGCTCCATTTGAAACTTAAATGATCCTCGCAACCGAAATCACGGCGCGCCAGTGGTTCCCGACCAATGGCTGAACGCAAAGATGGCGTCCCTCTGCCCCCACGCTGCATACACCACTCTGGCTACGGCGCTAATTATATTCCACTTCTCCAACGTGTCTGTCTCTAATTGGCTACTTACCTTCCTCGTGTGCCATTTGAATGCAAATAAAGCGATGATTGGCTGAGGTCAGCGTTGTTTAATTTTTCTGCGCTCATATGTCGCCACGCTACATTACTGTCGACCTGGAAATTTTACCACTCCCCAACAGTGCGGAGAACCAAACCAGAAGCTGAGGAAAGCTTCCCTCTTGCTGAGGAGGTAGTGTTGCGACGTATAACAGCGCAGACATATTAAACTACGCTGGCCTCAGCCAATTCTGTCTCAATGCGTTCCCAAGGCCATTCAAGGAAGATAGGTAGCCAATTAGAGACAACCACGATTGAGAAGTGGCATATAATGAGCGCCGTAGCCAGAAAAGTGGACTCGGATGGGCGGCGCCTGATGTATTGTTCTGGCTTGTGATTGGTCAAAAGAGTCTGCTCTGTTGTAGCAGCGTTCTTCATACTATGGCTCAAGTATTCTATAGTAGCAAAATAGGCTATTTCTATTTATGAATATTTAAAGAACTCGCAGAAGAGTCAGTCGATCATTAGCGCTCAAGCATTTTTAAGTTTATGACTAGATTTTATGTATTTACTGCATTCAGCTGTAATTAATACTTATTCGTGTCGAGGTTATTAGGTAATTTTGGCATATTTAACGCAAAATTTTATGTTATCCGTAAGCTAAATCAAATTTTCCTGTGGAGAAAGAGAACAGTTTTATCTGTATAGTTTTGAGAAACACAATAGGTATTGCTAAGTTCTTAGTGCTAAAATTATTTGATTAATATATGATTTACCTTCTGTACTTATATGCATTTTAGCATTTTGATACCAAATTGTTTGAGCTGTTGTGGAGATTATAGACAGTTTCAATTAAAGCGTTTTTAAATCATTTGTATAAATTTTTGAAGTAGACAAGGATCCAGCAATTGAAATATAATTTGTTTATATTGATAAAAAGGTTAAATCTTAGAGGCGTATGCAACGACTTCGTAAATTGTACATAATTGAATTACACAAATGGGCATCACATTTAGTAGTCAGATTGAGTGGTCAGACTCATCAGACAAAAATAACCAATTTGTTGCGTTTTCCAATGTGAACAGCCTTATATTAGAGTCTTGTGCTGGTTTTATTGGGCGTTACGTTCATAAAAACCATTCAACTTCTTCAGCGCTTTTTAATAACCCATTTACTTGGTCATCATGTCTGGATGCAAAACTTTTAAAAGGATTTAATACTGAGTAGCTATCATATTTCAGTAATAAATTTTAGCGGCAATTCTGCATCCTCTAAGGAACTTGACAGGACTGGCGAACCTGTTGCAACTTTAAAGCGAAACGCAAATGGCCAGTTTCAGGCATGTGCTAAGACATTTGCGGCTTTGAATATGATTTTGGAAGCGACTGGCGAAATGCGACTACTAGAATTAAAGCGATGCATTGAAGGCTTGTTTTAAATTTAAAAAGTCAATTAGTTCTCTAGGAAATCCAAATATATATGAAAAAATTTATGGAAAACAACTTGCTCTTGAAAAAGACTTATTCAATGAGTCTACATTAAATCAAATTATCAATGAGCTTAAACGATTTAGTAAGTTTGAGTCGATCGGTGTTTGCTATTTCTTGTAGATCGTGGGAAGACACCCATGGTTGATGGGAAATTGCTTAAACTTGTTGAAGACTTGCATAAGTATGATCTTCAACTATTAAAAGAAGTCCAAAAAACGAGGTACCGAATCAAACAACATTTAACCTGGATGTCTTTCACAGAAACACCTCTTTGTCAAAATTACATATTGAGAAGGAGTATGGTTTTTTGAAACACCTGATTAATAACAGAAACCGAAATATCCCCATTCTCGATATCCAAAAAATCGATGGTATGATTTTAAGAAAAACACGTGATTGAGTACTTAAACGAGTATTTAGACCCTACGGTTTCCACTGAAGAGCATGTTATTTAGCATGTTATTTTAAATAGTCAAGCAGGGACTCAAGTTAGAACCAGTTATTTCAAATGAACAGCCAAATATATGATATTTGGTGAAGCTGCGATTGGCAAGTTGCAAAAAAAACAATATTGTGGTGGCTATAACTAAAGGATATTTGTTTTTCCATAAGTATATTGCTTCTGATTATGGCGTTCATTATTACAAAACTTAATTAAACTTTTCGGATATCCCGTTTGCGAAAACTTTTTTACATTTTTAGGTGATACTCTAAAAAATAGTGATGGTTGCAGAATTCCACCGACAAGGCAAGTTCATGGAGAGTCGGAAGATTTTGAAATCACTTTAGAGGGATGGGAAATGTCGTTAGCAGTTTCAGCCACAACAAAGGGCTGGTTTGTCAATCGCGTAAGTTTAAGAAATGGAGTAATAGATCAAATATTACAGTCGAATGTAAGTTTGGCATGAATATGAGATGGTTAACTAATTGCTGATGATTTTGGTTTATAATTTCTTGTGCAATGCCAAACAAAAACAGACGTCATGGATTGGTCAAACTTTATCGAATTTTTCTCTGTTCATTTTGTAAAAAAGTATACATTAGATGCTAGGAATGTCATGAGGTTCAAAATTTGGCAAACGACCAATTATTATGCAAGGTAGTGCTTTACACTTCTACTCATATCAGTTTTTGTTCAACCGTTTTTTTATTCTTGTAGTAGCAGTTGGGCATCTGAAATAACAGCATTTCTAAACATTTAATGTAACCGTGCGATGTCGGTTACCAAGTGCCAGACATTCATGAGCCAGTAATATTTTCTTCTTACACCACAGAAACAAGTTTTAAAATGCAGGAAATAAAATGCAGGGAAGCTCGAGAAAACAAAAATGTAGTCACCGTTTATGTTTTAAATTTTGACTCATCCTGTATAATAAAATCTTTGCGCATTTTCCGGTAGAGATCCTTAATTTTGTATTTTATTGTAATTTGTGTCTGTTTGCATGAAAACCCGTAACGTATCGTAAACTACATTTTGAACTATAAAACAAGCCTGATGTGATCATGTCGAATAAGGCACTTGGAAAAGGGTATCATTTTGCAGGTAAACTTGGCAGAAACCTTCTTGATAAAAACCATCGTTTAGTAAGCGAGCTACCTACTTTACAGTGGCCTACGTTGCTGACTAGAGTTTCAAATCACACACATGAAATGCCAACGTCTCCGATTCTCCAGGCATGCTTGTCTAAATGTTAACTATATGGCATTAATTAGCATTCTATTTGCCCTTAAAAGAGAAATGCAATTTAGTTGTTGGGACCTTGTTTACATATTAACTTGTGCTGACTTAAATTCTGTCACTTTCTAAGATCAGGGCAGGTATGCATTATTTTACAGCTTCCTAAGTTAACAAAAGTACATTAGGGTCTATTGCAAGATTCTCTTAGTAAGTTCCTTAATTTTAACTTAAATCATAGAAAGCCTGGAAGTACCTTTAAGCCGTGACTGACAACGTTTGTTTGAAAGCAAATATTGCAATTTATAAGTTGCAAAACCTGATGAGCTGAAAGGTTATAATTACAAGACGGGCTCTTGACTTTCTGGTTCAAATCAACATAGCCGCAAATAAACACCTGCACTACAAATTAGATACTAATAAGTTTAAGATTCATTAATTTCGAATGCTTACAACAAATCGAGCAATGGATCAGGCCAGACTAGGGATATGGGCTTTGTATTGATGATCAGAGAGTCCACAGATATGTTGTAAGGCTCTAGTAAATAAATATGTTTAGTTTATTCACAAATTAGGCTCACTTTTTCTTTGCTGAATATTGCAAACACTTTTCGGAATGTCATTCACCATACTTACAGGTGAATTCACATAACATATGTTTAGGTGATCAGAAGAACGGGAATAGCTGCGAATTGGGATTTTTGTGCCTCGGCAGGCATACTTCGCTTTTCCCCTTTCATATTGCGATCCGAATATGCCGAATGTTTTGCCAAAGGGTCATATTTTTTGAGCATGACGGCTTAGAAATAATTTGTGGCTTTCTGTTACTTCCCTTGGTTTTTTCCAAATCCTACAAACATGTTGAATTGTGGATAAGTTGTATATTCACAGGTTTTTGTTTAAGGAAATAGTAAAATTTCCCTCAAAATGAGATGCCCATCGAAATATGGTGCAGTTACACAAATCTAGATTTGCGTTTTGGGCCGATTTCCTGAACGATAAACGTATTTACTTAACACAACCATAATCTCGTGTCTTAAACTAAATTTCAACTGCTCTATTAAGGATTTTGACGCGAAGGAAATGAAACTGTCACCTAGCCAGGCGAGCGATTCTTATCCAACACTCATAGCACTGTTGAGGAGTGAGTGTCAAACCTTCGACGACTTTCTTCAAACGGACGAGGGCACAAACCTAATGTATCGACTCAATCAGCAGTTCCAACATGAAACTACTGCACAGAATCCTCACACTGAAATGAATGCTAGTGTAGTGGGTCATTGCGGGAAAGCTTCCGACGACCTAAATCCTCTTCATGGGGGCGCCCACGTTAAAGAGAAAGTTGGACGTATTGGAAGCAAACGCAGTGACTACAGGGCTCATACTGATGTTATCTCGAGACTAAGAAACCAGTTTGGCGTTGGTGGACGCAATTTGGTTTCTTTGAATAAACAGGATGACTTTTCAATTAATGCAATTAGCAGTGGTGGCGATAAGAACCAAAAGCGGTGAGATTCTCGAAAGAAACTTGACTTTCCTTCCTCATATACTTTTATTCATCACAAAATTTTCTAAGCATACATTTATAGTAGGCCAACCAGAATTAACCAATCGGTCAAGTGGGTTCTAACGTTCCCCCCTCTGCGACGAGACTGATTCGATGTGGAAGTAGCCTAGACATGACACAAATCGCAGCAACAGAGCAGACAATGTCCACCTTTAATTGTCGTGGCTGTAGTGTTCTACGCGTGTGTCGTTCTGCTCTACACTGGTATAACCAAGGTTTCTCAGGCTATCCCTGCCTACCATCATAAACATGCGATATTAATTAGGCACTTTGAAGGATACGTGTACATCCTTAAAGTGAGACCTAGAAAATTATTTCAGACCTCTTGAGGTTATTTCAGAAATAAAGTTAGGAATAAAAATCATATCAACTCAAGGATCATTATTAACTAGACGCTGTCTTTCGGTTGTCGTGAATGCAATGTATATATATATATATATA